TCATTATCATAATTGTTTGGTTCCAATCTGTAAACATGTCGACAAGTAAAAAAAAAACCATGTCGACAAGTACGTAGTATATATCTAACAAGTCAAGAAAAATAATAATATAAAATGTATTATGGCAAAATCAAACATATAAAAGAAACGGGTTTTGCTGTTTTATTCATTATCATAATTGTTTGGTTCCAATCTGAATGTAGAACATATGTAGGAATCAAAGAAAATAAAATCAAGAAAATGGAAGCCGCCAAGATAAAAAAACAGATAGTGAAAAAATAAATCAATAAATTTCTTCAACGATTTGACATATATTTTTATTAAGAGATTTTCTATGCTATACTGCTAGTCAGAGAAATTTTTTCAAGAGAAGTAGTATTTTTTAAAAACAATTATATTATATTAAAGTAAAACTTAGTCTATATATAGTCTGACTTTTTATAAGATTTTAATTTATCAATTTGATGAAATCAAAAATAAAACCATAATAAACGTAATTATCTGTAGTTTAATATAACCAACTTTCCAATTTAGTATTATTTTAAATTTAATTAATTTTCACTAAAACTAACTCTCTTTTATAGAAATAACAATTATTTCTGCTATATTTTTATTTAAAACTATATTTATTTTAAGTACATTTGATTTAAGTGTCTAAATATGATAAGTTTTTTTTTTCTTTTACTAAAGATGTAATGATAATTTTGTATTAATTAATCCAGTAAACAAAAACGCCAATCCTTCAAGTATTTTATCGTCATTATTAAGATTAATTTAAGAATTTTTAACATTTAATTAGTCGTTTTTACATGATTAATGGATCTATGTCTAATGAAAAATATTATATAAAACTGTCCATTATACAGATAAACCAAGAAAAGATCATAAGAAGATGATCATATAAGATAAAACTATATGGTTACAGTTCTATTTTACAAATGTAATAGCCTAGCATGCATTATCGTTACTAATTAACTTACTATTATTATTTTTACCATGTAAACATGATGAATTTTTGAAAGAAAATAATCAATGATCGTGCTTCATATCGTGCACACATTTATTTTCCCTTATTAACATCGTTACTAAATAGTGAATGGAATATACACAATATCCGTGGCGGGCAAAAAATTCTATGTACCTCTTCAACGTTGCTAACTCTTGTAGCGAGAGCACAAGTTAAGGAGCTCTCGGGGGAACGAGCCTACAAGGCTTTTCTGTTCGTCTGTTATAAGGAGGCCTTCTTGGTCTGCTAGAAGGAGGAGCTCCACAAGGTGGGGGGGAAGGGTTTACGCCTATCTTTTTTGTCCATTTCAACACACCTATAATAACACATTAGTCAATTCGTTACAAAATAACAACCAGATGTGTTACAAAAAAAACACAAGATAAAACTATTAAAGGAAGCTGTAATAAGAGAATTTATCTAAAGTAGTAACTTAACTAGTAACTTGTATAAATTTCTGAGTAAAAAGAGCCTGGCCTAGGTGACGGAATCTAGCCTCTGTCACACCAACTTGTAAAGATACACATAAAAGTATATGAAGGAAGCTTAGAAGAAGAAATTTTATTGTTCTCTTCTTTGTCATTGTTCTGTTGTTCTTCTCGTCTCGACCAGTAGTGCCGTAGTGGGTATATATATCGTTTTGAGCAGACATAATCAACCGTATATATCGTGAATAAATAAAGTTGAAGTATTTAAGCTTCGACGACTTCTTGTTTTCTTCAAGAACGCGGTTTTCTGCATCACCTAAGTCCCATCTTTTGAATATTCAAATAAAACTTAACTAAAATTCAGTTTCGAATCTAGCTGGCTAATTACGGATGCAAGACTTTTGGAGGTTAAATATTTTAGGTTAAACCGTTCATACTTGTCATATACAAGGTATTCTGTGTTACGAACTTAGAGCATCTCTAACGGTGTTACTCATGTCCTTAGAAATTTTTTTTTTTGATTTTTTAATTATTATTATTTTGTTTTTTCCAGATTCAAAAAATAAATAAATAAATAAATACCAACCAATCGTGGATCGCCACGTGTCGTAGAGGTCTGCAAATAGTGTAAAGATTCACTAAGAAATAGTCCTTATTTAGAGATTTTAAAGATTGAATCCTTAACTTTTTGTGGAGTCTACTGATTATTTAATTATTTTTTTCCTAAAAAATTTTCCTTAAGAACTGATGCTCTTACGAGTTAGATATCATGTGATGTGATGTCAGAGAGCTAATCCTTTTTTGTCAATTCAGAAATCTAGTTTCCATGTCTCAGTTTGTAAGCAGACAACTAGCTAGCATTAATGGGCCTGAATGGACTTATTGAGAATTGAGTATTGGTAGACCCATTATCCTATTGATACAAAATGGTCTTTGTTGGAGAAAGATGTATAGTTGGTGTTGGTATATGGGAATGGGATTGTTGGATTTCAAGACATTTTCTTGGCTCCTTTTTCTTCTTGACTTCAAATATCAGTTTCAAGAAGTCTATGAGCAATGATTTTCATATTGATATTCTCTATGGTAGTCTGAAGTGCTGCACATGATACTCGCAGATTGTATTTAATGAAGGCAAATTCCAATGCTAATAAAGGTCGAACTGGTCAAGAGTTATTATCGAAAATAATTGGTGAAGGTTCCATGCTTAACTTCACATAAGGTGCTCAATTCATCGAGGAATGGAGGAAGCTGCTTTCATAAAGCAAAACCCTCTTATGTTGGACATTCGTATATGTTTATAGGCCTATTTGGTGGATTGAGAGATTTAATAAATTAGAGCATGAATCGAAATGATTATAAGGATTCGTTTCTGTTGTGCAAAGAAATAATTTAGCATAAGAAGCTGAACAAGAATATCAAGTTATATTAAGACGACACTACATGAGAACATCCATTGACAAACTAAATTCTCTTCTGATGAGTAATATTGATGATACAAAACACCTCTTTCTTCGACTCAAGTAACTATACTGAGAATGTGTATTTATCCAAAATGAGAAGAAGATGAGGGGAAATCCAGATGTTTTATGACTATCTTAATCTGTCAATTTTGTTATTTTACAATAGTTTGGTTTTAAAACCGCATAATGTAGTGATTTCTTGTTTATATTTGTGTGTTTAAAGGCATATAAGTACTTTTTAGGGCCAAAATCATATTATCTTATTTTTTCTCTCAAGACAATTGTCTCTTTGGTGAAAGATCAAACTTTTATGTTATTTGTCATTTGATTAGTCTTTCACTTTATAAGAATCTAAGGTTTATCATGGTGATTAGTGAGTATACACAATATGGATCTATGAGTTTGGTAATCCTTCTTGTTATATGTTTGTTTACTGAACTTAATGCAAATTAGACTTGAGATATCTAATTAAGTATTCTATCCGGAAAGTGTTTGATGAAATGTTTGAACAACTTGACAAAGTTCCTTACTCATTTAACCAATAAAAATTGGTGTTAGATGTCTTTAGGTGGTTAGTAGACTTGTTAATCATGCATGATTGATAGTATTAAGCCAACAAATATTAATGCTTGATTAGAATATCAATTATTGCCATGGAAATAGATTAGTCTATTTGTTGTGTCTAGACCTATAGATCATGATTGATTGTTTGCATGAACACTATAAATTAGATTTTAGTCATCTTGAATCAATGTACTTGCCCATAAATCCATACTTAATCCTTGCTTGAAATTTGTTATTCTTCTTGAGTTAGTTTGAGTTTAAGATCTTTGAACTTGAAGTTTATTTAGTTTATGCTTAGAAACTTATTCATAGACAGGTTATCAAAGATAGATGAATTCAATATATATATATATATATATATATATATATATATAGTTTATTTCTCAAAGAAATCTATATATATATCATATGAGGAAGCTACAGAGTCGATTACAAAAAGTAAAAATACGTTCAAATTGAGACCTATTTATTATGTCCACCTTAATATAATAGTATTTTCATTGTGTATATGAAATATTTCAATTTTTAATCATTATAAACATTTTGGAAACAAAATAACTTTTTATTATTTTTTGCTGATTTCATTATTACATTCATTTGGTTCCAACATATCCCCACCTAAACATATATCACTGAAATAAATCCTAAATCCACATGAGCCTCATGATCCTCCCAAAAAAATCCAATCCCTTTGAATGATTTCCTACATTTTACACATAACTATTGAATATTCACGTATGACCCCAAGAAATGTTAACATTGAGAACTTTAACATCTTTACAAGAAGCCTTTGAAGTCGAAATTTATTAACTTAATTATATGTACTTATAATCGCAATGAAACACATGATTTACTCACGTGCATTCTTCTCTTGATGAATATGTTCTCTTCAGGATCCTCTAATTGAAACTTTAACCTAAAAGATCCTTTTTTTTTTTGATAATCCAGTATCCGACAACTAATCGTGATCGACTAACCCACTGGGCCTAAGCCATGCCATTACATGATTTTTAAGTCTCCACTTAAGGGCCCCTGGTTACGCGAAGTGGTCTAGAGGACGAGAGCAGCCCATGTGAATACCCTCGTGGCCCGGACAAATGTTTGCAGCTGTGAAGATTCGAAGCAAGAGTATTGAGACCGAAGCTCTCTCAGCTGGACATCGTCCCACCACTAGCCCACTTACGCGGATTCCTAAAAGATCATTTAACTCCCTTTCTGAAGACACGATCACTTGGAAACCATAAAATGATTATAATAAGAATTTCTTAAAATCAATATTTTAAATTTATTATTCCTAAACTCCAAAAATTAAGAGCCAAAGCAAACCAAGCTACAAAAAAAGCCACGTAAACTTGTCACATACCATACAAAAACAACAAAAGCGAAGAAGAGAAATTCACCAAACAATAAACTTAGGTCGACGTGTAACCCAAACTCCCACCCGATTTTTTCTTTCTTTACATAACCCAAACAATACATAATATCAACACCGAGTCTCAAACAAAAACACACACACACATCTCTCTTCATTTTTTGTTCATCCAAGAATCTACAAATCTGCTTCACTTTCGTTCAAACATGAAGGACATCGACGATACGACGTCTCCAATGGCCCACCAGATCAACCCATCTCAACCTCCTTCCGACAAAACCCAACAAGATCCAGGTTTGTCTGAAGAGGCTTCTTCTGTTCCCGACAAGGTAGATCAAGCTTCGCCCGAAGAGAAACCGAAACAGAATCAAGAAAACGAGAGAGCTGTCACTGGGAGAGAGATGTTAAAGAAGCACCGGAGAGAGATGGCCGGAAGAGTTTGGATACCAGAGATATGGGGACAAGAAGACCTTCTTAAGGGTTGGATCGACAGTTCGACGTTTGATAGGTGTCTAGACCCTAACGGGATCTCGTCGGCACGTGCGGCTCTCGTGGAAGAAGCTAGGCGAGCTGCTTCATCTTCTGGTGGGATACATAACCGTTGCTTGAGATTACGCTGAATTTTTAGTATAATAACATATATAAATGTAGTTCTGGTTCCTCAATAAAATAATATAAGACACTTTTATTATATTGTTGCCTTGTTGATATAGAGTTTTTTCAGATTGCTGACACTTTAAGAGAACACTGCCGATGGTTTTACTGTGTTTCTTTGCCTATTAGATGAAGATATCGGCTGATACATGAATAACGAGAAAACGCCATTAAAACTCTAAACATTCAAACTAAAACAAAAATAATCTCTAATTTATGTTTGAATAAAAAAAAAATTCAACTTCTAAACATTGGTTATTTTATCTCTTACATTTTATTGACTCAGCTATTTCAAAGTCTCAAATAGTCAACTGCTAAAATCGATAAAAAATAAACATTTGTTAACTTTTTAAACAATTTTTTTTAAATGATTAAACATTGATCAAACAACGTTGTTTTGCTTCTGTAAACATTTAGAATATCTCTTTTGTGAAACCAAAGTGAGGAAGATGAAATAGATTTAAGACTATGATTTCGCGAAAGAGATAATTTAAGTGTTTACAAAAGCAAAACAACGTTGTTTGATCAATGTTTAATCAGTTTTGAAATAATGTTATTTAGTAATATATATCTATTTTTTTACCGATTTTAATAGTTGATCATTTTGATTTCTTAAATGGTCGAGTCAATAAAATATAATAATTAAAATGTCAATATTTGAAAATTAGGATATTTTTTCAAACACAAAGTTGGAGATTTTTTTGGATTTAATTTGAAAGTTCATGATTTTAATGGATGTCTCCATGAATAACTGATCTAAGGTATTAAATACACAATACAATTAACAATATTTACCGGATGATAATACTTGTTAATGTACTTTCTGTACCATAGTTTTTGTTGTTCTATTTTTTTGATAGTTAAAGAAAATCATGCAACGTTTGCTTTAAAAAAAATGATTTTTAACATAAAAACCCCTAAACTAAGTTTGTTTTAGGTAAAAAACCCCTAAACTAAGTATTTAAAGAAAAAACCCCTAAACTAACTTTATTTAGTGAATTAAACCCTCACCGGTCATAATTACATGTACTACCGGCAAATCTTCAGTTTAGAGGTTTTATCATTAAACATAAAAATCAATATAATTCAAAATATAATAACATTATCTAAAAATTCGTAATTTTAATTTTCAAAACTTGCATTTAAAAAAAAACATTATGTAACTATATGAGTCTGATTTGTTATCCTTTTAAAATCAAAATTATATATGTATAAATTTTAAATATAAAAACCAAGAAAATATAACAAAAATTATCTAAAGATTTACGTGTAATTAAAATTATCAAAAGTTATAAATATAAAAACAAGAAAACAGAATAAAAATTATATTTTATGTAATAAAAATGTAATAATAAATCTTTAGATGATTTTTATTATATTTTGGTGTTTTAACATTTTAATCTAGGATTTTTAACATAAAAACCCCTAACTAAGTTTGTTTTGGGTAAAAACCCCTAAACTAAGTATTTAATGAAAAAACCCCTAAACTAATTTTATTTAGTGAATTAAACCCTCACCGGTCATAATTACATGTACTACTGACAAATCTTCAGTTTAGAGGTTTTATCATTAAACATAAAAATCAATATAATTCAAAATATAATAACATTATCTAAAAATTCCTAATTTTAAATTTCAAAACTTGCATTTAAAAAAAACATTATGTAACTAGATGAGTCTGATTTGTTATCCTTTTAAAATCAAAATTATATATGTATAAATTTAAAATGGAAAAACCAAAAAAATATAACAAAAATTATCTAAAGATTTATGTGTAATTAAAATTATCAAAAGTTATAAATATAATAACAAGAAAACAGAATAAAAATTATATTTTATTTAATAAAAATGTAATAATAAATCTTTAGATGATTTTTATTATATTTTGGTGTTTTAACATTTTAATCTAGGATTTTTAACATAAAAACCCCTAACTAAGTTTGTTTTGGGTAAAAACCCCTAAATTAGGTATTTAATGAAAAAACCCATAAACTAACTTTATTTAGTGAATTAAACCCTCACCGGTCATAATTACATGTACTACCGGTAAATCTTCAGTTTAGAGGTTTTATCATTAAACATAAAAATCAATATAATTCAAAATATAATAACATTATCTAAAAATTCCTAATTTTAATTTTCAAAACTTTCATTTAAAAAAAACATTATGTAACTATATGAGTCTGATTTATTATCCTTTCAAAATCAAAATTATATATGTATAAATTTAAAATGTTAAAACCAAGAAAATATAACAAAAATTATCTAAAGATTACGTGTAATTAAAATTATCAAAAGTTATAAATATAAAAACAAGAAAACAGAATAAAAATTATATTTTATTTAATAAAAAATGTAATAATAAATCTTTAGATAATTTTTATTATATTTTGGTGTTTTAACATTTTAATTTATATATATATATATATATGATGTTAAAACAAATCAAACTCATATATTTACAGAAAGTTTGAAAAACGCTATTTTCAAAAATTTAAGTTACTAATTTTTAGATAATGTTATAAATTTTTTTTTAGATTTTTAACGATAAAAACCTTTCAATTATCTTTAATATGGGGGTTTACTTGTTAGTTTGGGGGGTTTTACCCAAAAAACGTAGTTAAGGTATTTTAGAGTTAAAAATCCATTTTACAAGGATAAGAAATCACGCTTATATTTACAAAAAAAAAAAAATGCTAGTTTTGAAAATTAAAATTAAGAATTTTTAGATAATGTTAATATATTTTGATTTTTTGATTTTTTTATGTTTAATGATAAAACCCCTAAACTAAAAATTTACCGGTAGCACTGGTAATTATGACTGGCGAGGGTTTAATTCACTAAATAAAGGTAGTTTGGAGGTTTTTTCATTAAATACTTAGTTTAGGGGTTTTTATCTAAAACAAACTTAGTTGAGGAGTTTTTATGTTAAAAATCCTTTAATCTATATATATATGTGATGTTAAAATAAATCAAACTCATATATTTACAGAAAGTTTGAAAAATGCTATTTTCAAAAATTTAAGTTACTAATTTTTTGATAATGTTATAAATTTTTTTTTAGATTTTTAACGATAAAAATCCTTCAATTATCTTTAATATGGGGGTTTACTTGTTAGTTTGGGGGGTTTTACTCAAAAAAAAAAACGTAGTTAAGGTATTTTAGAGTTAAAAATCCATTTTACAAGGATAAGAAATCACGCTTATATTTACAAAAAAAGTTAAAAATGCTAGTTTTGAAAATTAAAATTACGAATTTTTAGATAATGTTATTATATTTTGATTTTTTTATTTTTTATGTTTAATGATAAAACCCCTAAACTAAAAATTTACCGGTAGCACTGGTAATTATGACTGGCGAGGGTTTAATTCACTAAATAAAGGTAGTTTAGAGATTTTTTCATTAAATACTTAGTTTATGGGTTTTTATCCAAAACAAACTTAGTTGAGGTGTTTTTATGTTAAAAATCCTTTAAAAAAAACAAATTCCCAAACCTTCGAATGTTACTTGTTTTTTTGTTAAAATTTAAAAAGAACGTGAAGACATGTCTACCTTAATATTGTTGCAAAATACAACCCACTGGATATCGGAGTCAAACGAAATAATGGGCTGAACTATTGAAGCCCATTAGGCCTTTCCAGATACGAAGGAGTCAAACGAAGAGAGAATCTTTTTTTTTCAGATTATTCTCAATCGTCTCTCTCGCCATTGTTGTAGATCCATTTTTCCAACCCTAAATCAAGACCCGATACGTAAGAGTTCAGGTGCCAAGGGTTAGTCATGGCAAATCAGAAAGGCGCTCTCGAGGGATTCTACAGACTCATCATGCGCCGTAACTCCGTCTACGTCTCCTTCATCATAGCCGGCGCTTTCTTCGGCGAACGGGTCAGACATCTCAACCTATTTCTTTGGTTTATTTTATTATTTATGAGCCTTATTATCATTACGGATCTGCTTTGTGGTTTGTGAATAAACTTGTTTGGATAGAAATAAGCGATCTACAATTGATTAAAGTTTGCAACTTTATTATACTTATATTCATAAAGGGATCATTTTTTTATATGAAAGTGTTACATGTATGTATGTGCAGGCTGTGGATTACGGTGTTCATAAGCTCTGGGAAAGCAAGAATGTTGGGGTATGTTCTGTTTTTTTTTTTTTAATTGTATCTTTCTCTTATGTTCTGCTTTAGTGTCGTGATACTCTAATCATTTTTTGATTAATCGGTTCACCAGTTAATAGTTGAATGCTTGTTCTAATGTAATAAGTTAGTTAATTAATTAGTTGTACGAGTTTTTGATGTTATTATCTCTGTGCTAGATAGTTCAATCACATTAACTTCATGATCTTGTTATGTCTCACATGTGTATCTGTTGAAGAATAATATGGTTATGTAACTTCATAACATGGTATTTGTTTGTCATGGTGCAGAAACGGTATGAAGACATATCTGTGTTGGGTCAAAGGCCAGTTGAAGAATGATATTTCTCCTTTTTAAAAAAATTTCTCTGGCTAAAAGAAAGAAACGGAATTTTCCATTTTGTTTTGCACTCCACGACGTCTCCTCCATCTTTTGTTGAATAAATGTGATGATTTTCATATTTTCACCTAAACCGCTGTTTGTTTCTGATTAATTGATTTTTTTTTTTTTTTGCATTGTTCAATATGATAAAATTCCCTTTGTTGGATCCTAGAAAGAAACAAGATTAAGTTTTTGAGTCACCGTCGATACACTATAGAGCAACACCGTTCTTGCATTTTACAGAACACCAGTGGAACAAATCCACATTGGCTTGTACGATTACGGCAAGAGAGCTTAAAAGCCTTTCCACTAAGCTGTGTGGCAAACTTTAAAGATTATATTTTAACCATCTCTTCAACACAAATCACATAATTTACACCAATACTGTCTAAATCAAATGCATTGGCAAACTCCTGAACATCATCTCCATGGATTCCCCTATGCCCCCATTTCTTTTTCATTATTTTGTTTTCTACTAGTTAAACACTATATTATATGGTTTATGACAGATAAAACTAGACACAGTTTTATTGATTATTTGCCGACCTGGCTAGGTTGGAACTCAGTGATATAAGTTTATATGCCAGTTTGTCACTCGACCTTTGAAAAATTATTTGTATTACCATAGATACTCCAGATTCAGTATAACCCATTTTGTAAGTGGTCTTAGGGGGATTAGTTTCGCCCGTTTAGCCCAGATGGTGTTACACCAAACAAAAGATGGAAGCTCTGCTGTGATAGCAAGTTCTGCAAAACTCGGCAGTGAAGGGCCTTTCCTCTCTAAGTATAATTTTGAGGCATATATATTGGCTTAATCAATGTATGACGTTATTAATTATATAAGGGGCATGATTAGACGAAGAAGAGTTGGTGAAGCTAAAGGAGGAGAGGTGCAATTTTGCTACGGGAACGAAAAAGCACAAGTGGAAGTTAGAAATAAACACACAACATATCAACGTAAAGTACTTAAGATACGTTGGTTCACTCACTAGTCCTCCAAAAACGTATCTTGGACCATTCTTGGCAATGTGACCTGTAACACACGTCTGTTATTGTAATTAAGTAATTTTGGGATAAAGGTCTGCAATTAGCAGGCTTTAAAACAAAATTATTTTGTTCCTAATATTTAAGTAGTAGTCTGTAGTTGATTAGTCGTTTTCACGATTCAATTTTAGTGTGTGACGTCCATGTGGTAACCCAAGAGAAAAGAAGAAAAACTTCTGATTATGCGTAAAAGTTGGTTTTGTGTAAACTAATACGTCTATAGAAGATATTAGTAAGAAAAATTAGTAAATTTTATAAACTAGGCCTACTTTTAAGAGAACTATTTAAATTATGTTTTATTTGTTAGGCATCTAAATATATCAAGACCACCGACTATATATAAAGCATTTAATATACATAGAAATCGTATGTTATGATATCCAAATTTCAAATCTCATCCAACTATCCAAGACTATATATTATTGACGATATTCCACCGGTTTAAGTGCCTTTTATGGGTTCCACATTCCCTGCTTTTATGGGTTTTTTGTCAAACTTATTATATACGTTTGAACGAAACGGAGAACTTCAATGTACGATGGATGAGACCTAGCTACTACTTTCATGTTCCTTTGACATTTTTGCATGGAAACGGTCCAAATTAACGTGACATCTTTGATTTCTAGCCGTGTAAAATAAATTAAATGCATGTGACGTCAATGTCAAAGGAACAAGTAGAACTACTCAGAGCATAATTAATCCAAAGTTCTTAAGATGTTTTTTTAGCAGAAATTAAGAAACAGTTTCTTAACTTTTAACTAAAAAGGCTAAGAACCGATTCTTAAATAAGAATTTTAAGAACCATTTCTTAGCATTTTTAATTAAAAGTTAAGAAACGATTTCTTATCTTCCGCTAAGAACCCCAGCCCAAGAACCGGGTTATATCTCCATTGGACAATTCATACAAGAACAGTTCAAGAATCGTGACCATGTCAACCCCTCAACGACCGGAGAGTTGAGATGTGTTTCGAGGTCGTGAACAAAAGGGAAACCCGAAACAAAGAAAAAATAGCTTTGTAAAATTGGAATGAAATAATCGCACGTAGCACTATGTTGTTGTTTACTACTTCATATTCGATTTCCAAACTTGTAATCTGGTGTTGTGAGTTATATGCTACCTTGAAAACAACGTGCAATAACTAATATCTCAAGCCCTTTCTCAAAAAAAAACAACAACTAATATCTCACTTAGTATAATAATAAGAGTTATATCGTATGCCAAACTTAATTCGTTTGGATTCACAATTTAATCTTATTATATCTAATGCTCAGTTTAGATTAAACCAAATTGATTGCCACAACCTCTACGGTTAAAGTTCATGTCTCTTTCTAATTGTCATTTCTATCTCTATTAATCTTCGAAAACGTTGCATCTGATAGTGGAAAAACTTTTCTTTTGTTGAATCAAATCTACATTATAAAAGGAAATTGGACTTTTCTATGTAGGGTTGGTTATATGTTGTGGCTATATATTTTCGAACAGCAACCAGACTTTAAATTGTGATTGCAACCAGACTTTCTGAACACATTTATAAAAGTGTTAAAAATATTTTTTTTTGTGAATACTACATGTAGTTTGCTCACTGCTGAATATGAATAGCTATTTTATATAACCTCAAGGAAGTTATAAATGCAACTAACATTAACACAAAGGACAGCTAGACATGGTATCCTAATTATCATTGATGATGATAAACTTCCCCAAGAAATGAACATAAACTACAAATTTCAAAATGCAGTTATTTCTCAGAAGACCAAATTATGTAAGGCCAATAATAATAAGATAACCAATCCGAACGACCGACTTTTCCAAATTGTTCCAATATGTTTGTTTGTATTATATAATCGAAGATGGCTATGAGCTTATGAATGACCTGCCTTTTGAAAACGAAATAACTAATAAGATAAAAAAAAAAACTATATACGAAAAGTAAAATGAAACCTCGCTATCAATTTTTACTTAATTCGTCACTTTGCCAGGACTTGAACAACTCAAAGTTTTTTGAAAACTGTCATGGCTCACATTATTCCTTTCCATTGTTTCAATTTTCTGTATTGATTAAACACTATTTAAATCGACTTTATTATGAAAAGAGTTCCTCATTCATTGACCGTTATTAAGTGTCCGTTTCTGATTATTTGTCATTCTAGATTTTTACACACAGATTAAAATAACATTTAATTTTACATATTTTCAATATAAAAACACAATTACCAATACACCTAACTACTTTTCAACCAATAGAAAAATAGAATCATATAAACATAATAAATTTTGTCTCGAAACTTTAAAACGACACTTATTTTGAAACGAAATTTTTCCTCTAGAATGACATCTAATTCGAAACGGAGGGAGCATATTTTACAAGATCAATACTGATAAAAATATCTCATTAGTTTTACATCCCTCACACCATTAAAAAGTATACATATACAAATAAATAACAATACCTACGTATAACTAAGACAAGGAAAAATCTAAATAAAACACAAAGCTATATTTTTGTGACAGGCAAAAGTTTTAACGCAAAACTAATTCAAAATCAAGTCTTACGAATAAAAAGGCACAATATAAATTCCTATTTAACCAAAAGATATACAAAACAGTGGAAGTGGTTGAAACGCGCGAAATTTAACCAAAAGTATCCCCGCGTTCTCTCTCTACGCCGTGTTCCTAACTCCGTTAAAACCGCTCGTCACGTCATCGCTAACGACATTTTAAATTCAACACACACTCATGGGCCCCATAAAAAGCCCATGAAAGCCAACAACAAATCATTGTTTTCTCATAAGCTTGAAACGCGGAACTGAGCCCCACCGTTCTCACTTGTCCACAGCGTAAAACGCCGCACGTCAATCTTCTCCCAACAAATCCGGTCTTCTCCCAGAAGTAAACCGCATCATCCCACCTAAACCGGTCAATACCGGTTCTCCTCCGTCAATAGATTTCCTCGAACCGGCACTCATCCTCGTCGGCGAAGATTTTTCGATTTCTCCCGGAAGAGTAATTTTGTCCCTATCCGGCGCGTGTGCTCCACTCGCCGTTAGACTTTTGCAACCCCCTCCGGTTCTGAAAATAGCTCTAAAGATCGCGAAAAACCCGGATTTCTTAACCAAAACCGGTTTATCTTTAAAAGAATCGGTTCGACCGGATTTATCTCTCTGCATCCGACGGCTACGTTCCCGTTTCGATCTCACTCTCCCAATACAAGAGACCTTGGGTGAACCAGGCTCCGAGAACGAAGGATCCGACCTCAACAACGACCCGAACCGTTTCGGGATCATCAGAGTCCTCGCGATTCTACAGTCTCGCCGCTTCTTCGCCTCGTTGAAACACGTCTTCTGCGGTTTCGGTAATCTGATCACCGACGTTTTGGATTTGAGAGGAATCTTCTGAGAGTGAGAGCTCGTGTTCTGAGCGGGGAAGGAGTTTCCTTTTTGAGATTCCTTGCGTTCGAAGAAGGCGTTCTCGTTGAACCACTCGAGCTGTGCTTCTTTGGATAAGGAGTAAGACTCCGGTGGAAAATCGATCGGAGTCACGGGTCGGATCATCGGGTCATGAACGGTGTCTTTGTTGTCGTCGGCGAGTGTCTCGCATGCGATTTTAACCAAGGTTTCAAGAACGACTTGGGGCATTTGAATTTGATGTAATTAATCGAAAACAGAGACGGTGATGAGAAGGTTTGATCGGGGTGAGAGTTTCGGAGAAGAGAAGATATAGAAAATTGGGTAAACCATTAGCTTCTTTTATATTTGAGTGTATCTGGAATTTTATATATTGTTTTATTTAGTTTAATTTCCAGATTACTATTATTGGTTGACTTTTAAGCAAAAAAAAAAAATGTAGTGTCAACTAAAACTTCATGGGCTTAATTAAATCAATATAGGCATATCAAAAAATGTAATCTCAACTAAAAATGTTTAAAACACTTTAATTAAGTGTTGTTGGAGATAGTGTACCATCAAACAATAAATAAAAGGAGAATAAGAGTTTCAGGCCATCTACGTTAGCTTGAAAAGCTATCAGATAAAACTGCAATTCCCTTCCACATCGGTTCTTTTCTGTATTTTTCTTCTTAATCGAACTCAGATAAAAGTTAGGCATTTTTCCAATAATCAAAATATCTGATTTGTCTCAGGGCCATCTACAACCGATAATCAAAGTTAGGTCTTAACTTGGTTCCAATCAAAACCGATAAGATACTCCCAAGACGTCAAATCCATGGCAATGAAACCCAATGGAAAATCCCCAGTCTCCACCAAAACATGGCGATGAAATCAAACGGCATGTCCCATGTCTCCTCCACCAAGGCGAGATATGTTCTTCGACGGGGCTGCTTTTTGGTTTAGAAACGGCTAGTGTGTATAATATTACAATTTTCCTAATTAAAGGCTATTGATTTCGGGTTATCTGTGTTCCTCAAGACTGGTATGTTCCTTACATAATTAGATTTGTTTTGATTTACTCTGTTTTCAGCAAATATATATTGTTGCTATACTACATTGTGCTAAAGTTTAGACCAAGGATTACAACCCCAGATGCAGATATTAAGAGGGCAGGGTGATGAATGATGATATGTGCTACTCTCAGGCTCAAATCTGTTTTGAGAGGTAATATTGTTATTCCAGTCACAAATTTACTTTTATATGTTTTTGGAGGTGTTCTCATGTGTGTTATTAATATAAACAGATACATATGAAGAAACCTTGAGCGAGTTCTGGAGGGTGAGCTTTATTTATAAATTGGCTTTAAGGGTATAATTATTTTGATTTTATGATAGTTTTGATGAGAAAACCTTGGATGTGTCTCAGTTGCAGTTAATTGCAAAACGGATTCTTGTGGAAGAATTCACATGCTTAGAGAAACCTTCATGATTGTAGACAATAAGATGAGAGGGGAGTAACTTATAAAGAAAGCTGCGAGAGAGGAACCCCAAACAGTAGCAACTGCGGTTGGATTCTACCGATAGATCCTCCCTGACCATGTCACTCAGTTCCTACCTTAATGGCGACGGAGCCGCCAAAGAATAAACATGGTCATCCGAGAAAGTGTTTGACGCTAGAGCAACCTCTAGCAGCTAAGAAATTGGCTTCTTTTGGGAGTGGTTTGATAGCTAAAGATAAAAAGAAAAACATAAGAAGACATCATTTTCATGTGTACTTTATAAGTATGGTAAGTCATATTACCAGAGGACAAATATAATATGTGAATATTCTGAAAATAGTTTATTGTTGGAGAAAAGAACCTGTCGAGGTTGACAAAAAAAAACCTGTCGAGAAGATCAAAGCATAACCTCTCAAACAATTAATGCGATAGGTTTTACCTGAAGTCCAAGATACTCAGTTATCAAGTTCCGCTTAAAGGTAAAACATTTGAAAAGCTGAAATAATTGACCAGGAAAAACCATCATAGTTTATTGTTGGAGAAAAGAACCTGTCGAGGTTGACAAAAAAAAACCTGTCGAGAAGATCAAAGCATAACCTCTCAAACAATTAATGCGATAGGTTTTACCTGAAGTCCAAGATACTCAGTTATCAAGTTCCGCTTAAAGGTAAAACATTTGAAAAGCTGAAATAATTGACCAGGAAAAACCATCATCGTGAAAAATGTTGTTGACCGGTAAAAACAAACTTCCGGCTACTTGCCATTAGCAATATATAATTAACTACTTTTAACAAATTTTATTTAAATAGATAATAATGTACACTAATATTTAAACATTGGTATTATGAAATATATAATAAAACTGAAATTTATCAAGCTACTGAATTTATAAAGACAAAATCTTTTTAACATGTAGATATAGATTCATAATTCTATTTTTCAAAAACAAGAAAAAAAACTATCAATAAGATATATTACATTATAATTATCATTTGGGGCTTAAAACAGATTACATGAATGAGGTAGAAGGTTGTAGTTTGTAAATATGGAAAATAGATAATTATGATAGATTTAATCAAAAAGTTAATGATAGATTTATATGGTTTATGATTAAGGCAATGACATGAGTTGTAAGTATTTAAATGAGCCTAAGGGTATTTCGAAAATTGTACTTCAACTTTGATAATAAAGATGAGTGATATATAAAAATAATTATATTATAAAAGCTAATGATTTGTGCGCAACTAAATAGAGTTTTGGAACAAAAAAGGGTTCAGACTTGCAGTGTTGTAGTTTGTGGCTATGACAGTGAAAACATGTACACTAATTTCCCAAGATTAAAAGTTAGTGCTTGGAGTACATCAATATACCTAATTTCATTTGTTGGTTTAGTATGATTTTACGAAGCTAAAGAAATCTAGTTTCTCCAAAAAAACATTAAATTTTTTTTTTAGGGACTTATGTTTAGAGAATGGTATAATCTTTGAATTCATTCCAAGTTGTAACAATTAAAACATTAATTTTCTTGCACACGAATTGCTAAATATCATAGATAAGAATGACAAGTTTTTGTTAAATACATGCAATACTAATATATTTTCCAAAACATCATTTTATATTTTTATTTTAATTATTCACGATATTATAGAAATTATTTATTTGGTATATGTAAATTTTTGTATATCATTTTATCAAATTTATATACATACTTTTAATGTATATATATTAATTCCTCAAAAAAAAATTCAGTTTAACTACAAGATTATAGTGGAGTTTTGATATTTAAAACTCAAAAATTAAAAATTAAAATATACATATACATAAAAAACTATATAAGTGTGTGTATTTTCTTGAGCACTCAAATAATAGTTGAACTCGGATTATTCATATATTATACGATAAAAAGTATTCTCTCTGTTTTTTTTTGTTTCAAACTATATGACATTTTTAAATTTCACTATAACATTAATTATTTTAATTCTATATTAATTTTTATATTTCATAAATATAAATGCTCTAGTTAGTTTTATCACTGATTTCTTAGCCTAGAATATTTCCATGCAAAAAAATTGAAAGGTTTTACAACGAGTTGAGTGATACATTATAAATTTAAGATGCTGATACAAAAAAATATGAAACAGCTCCTAAAAAAACTAATCAAAATAATAAATCTGGTAATGAACCAAAATAAGTGTGAAAATAAAGTAAGAATCAGGTATCACTTTTTAAATAATGATCTGTGTAAGTTCTTACACTTTAATTTTATCATTAAACAAAGATTGATGTCAATTTTTAAGGTTATTCTATATACAAGGGCAGCAAGTCATGAGGATATCATAGTCATTGGCATCAACTCATATAGATTCTAAACACTACAAATATTTTTCCAATTCTGTAATTTTGAAGTAAATTGTAAGTGAAAAATGCAAGCTTAGTGATTTAAAGTAAAAATATAAATCAGTTGCAATTAATAATATATTATAATATATTTTTATAATAATATTAATATGTAAGATAACAAAATTATTATGGCTAATAACTTAGGTTTAATAAATTCCTTATTTATTTCACATTTACTCATTATCCCATACATATTTTAAATATTAAAAACAATTGTGAGTTTTACTCATATTTAATTAAATTTACAAAAATTATATTCAGTTTACTATTTATATTTTTAATAAAACACTATTTATATTTTTATAAAATAAATGTAAAACATGTTAAATATATACATACATATATATATATATATACATATATTCAAGTACAAATCTCTTAAATAGATTTTTTTAAAAAAAATTTTGTCACAAAAATATACCTCAAAAACTAAAATGACCAAAATAACATTATTTATTTTGAAAATTTATAATTTATAATTTTATTTTTTTTACATTGGAAATTCTATCCCAAAAACTCCACTCCTCAACTCTAAACCTTAAACTTTAAACTTTAAACCCTAAACCCTAAACTCCACCTCTTAATTCTAAAACCTAATGTTTAGATTAATTAACTCTAGGGGTATAAGAGTATATTTACTTTTTTGATAAAATATTTAAGTCTATTTTTGTCAATTTTATTTTTAAGGTCTATATTTGTGATAAAAAATTTTTTTAAGTCTATCCTAAGGAATTTCTCTTAATTTAATCAAATTTTGTATAATTCCGGGCGTAACCGAGATAAAAACTCTAGTCTAAACTATTAAAATGGAGTAGAAATAGGAAATACCTCTTAGTTTTTCTCAAAAATTATAACTTTGTGCCACTGAAATTAAAACACTGTAGTTTTACTCTCTTTTTTTTTAACAAAGCCTACATTTAGTATTTTATGAGCTTGGTCCATTAAATATAATTAAAAAATAATCCATATATATTCTGATGAAAACAAAGTTTGAACATAGTATTTAAATTTTGGCCCGTTTGAATTATAATTTCATAACTAAATTATCTAAACTAATAAACTTAATTAAGTATCTTCTACTTTTTAAAGTTTTTTAAAACTTGGTTTCATTATTATTATTTTTTGTCTAAATAATTCTCTATATATTATTTGCGAAGTGATTTGCCACATGTCATCTCTACAATAATTTTTATAAAAAAAAATGATGACATAGCTCTAAAATTGATGACATGGCTTATAGTTAAATATAACATGGACAATTACATTTATTGCTGATATATAATTTTGGTAAACTTTATAAAATATGACAATAACTAATACATTATATTTAATGTTAATTTATATTTTTGGTAATCTTCTTAAATTATGGTAATAACTCATAAATCAAATCATCGCTAAAAATAAATATATTTATTAATTTTACTTTTATAATTATACAATTTTGTTACTAATATTTTCAAATTTCTATTTTTTTAAATTATAATTTTAATCCTAGTATCATTAGTTTCTTTTAGATATCGACAAACTTTATAAATACTGTTTATTTATAATTATTAATAACTATACAATTTTTATATGAATTTTTTTAGTAAATTTATACAAGTTGATTTAATACATTAACCAAAATAAATAGATAAAAAATTATAAGATTCAAATTTTAAATATATTACATATATATTATTATATATAATTTAAAATAAACTAATTTATTTTTTTTCTTAATTTTATGCTTATTTAAATCGAATTTCTATTAAATATTAGTCAAAATCATAAAATATCTAATATTAATAAATTTTATTTTAAATATATTTTAATTTTAAATTTTTTTATCACTGCACATGGTGCATGAAACACCTAGTATATTTGTATTTAAAAATCTCAATAACAGTTTGAATTTTATATAGAAAAACTTTGACATTTTACCGTTTACTTTACCAAATAAACTAAATAAAACACAACTAAAGAAAAACACAATCTCATAGTTTATAAGTGAACACTAATCACATTGAACAAGACACACCAATATCAATCATGGATAACATATGAATCTATAATATAAAAAGGTTTAAAAAATTAAATTTATCGCATGTTCAAAAGTTTAAAACATATAATTATGAAAAACAAACATCCGTGCAAGCGCGCAGATCAAAAGCTAGTATCTATTATAATAGTTGTCAATCACTCAATATAATATACTCCTTTTGTTTCACCATTACATGATGCTTTTGAAATATTTATTTATTTATGTTTTAAATTAACTGATGTTTTCAAATTCTTATACAAAATTCTAATGTTATATGTTGTTCACTGGCCATAAGATATAAAATACTTAATTTATTTTAAAAGAACGAAAAAAAAAAAGATTATGAAAACTAAACTGTGGATCTATTGTTTGAAAATGGCCTTTATTTTTGTATACATATATAATAATGTTACAACAAGAAAAATTTGGTTAAAAAGCAGCCGTGTTAAAATTTAAATATTTAAAATATTAAACTAGCTTGAAAATATAATTTTCTTACAATCCACATTAGAGATATGATTTAAAGACACTTTCCTCTACATTTTTTGGATAAAAATTTCTCTAAATTCTTTATTCAGCATTTTCTGTATACGAGTTGTATAATAACATTTTCTTAAAATCTTAGGACCTTAAATTTTAAAAACAATTTTATTTAAAAAAAAAACAGAATCATGCGCAAAAGAGCTCTTATCACACCCTTAGAGCCGGTGCAAAAGCTAAAAGAATAAAATTCAGAAAATAAATTAAAACAAAATCCAAAAAGTATAACCAATTAAACTAAAAAGCGCCAAATTTGGTTCACTCTCTATATTGTAAGTATAGCCGAGTCTAATACAGAATTAAAATCAATCAAATTTGAACACAAGGTGACATGTACCGGAAGCTTTGAGCACACCATCCAATTTTTTGCGCGTCTTACATCTCTGTTTCAACTTATCAAGTTGGCCCGGTCTAATAGGATTTGTAGTGAGAGTTGCAATTTTCAAGCCTCTTGCATTTTTAAGGATGTATGTAGCTACTTCTTCTTCCTTTTCTTTTTTCCAATCATATCTTATCCATACAAATCTCTTCAAATGTGACAACAAACATTCAGGGACGCACTTTGGTTTATTCCATTCGCAGCCGAGCGAATAAAAGTCATCATCATTATCCTTACATTCCTGTGACCAACGTGAAAAAGAGGAGAAATCAATGTACTAGACCATCTAAAATAGATAACTGGCTAATAATATAATAAAATGTCTTACACCAACAAGCTTCAAGACTTGTAGTTTAGGAGAATGTTTGAGCATCCAAGTAAGTAGATCATACCAGCCTTGTAGATGTGTATATATTTGTAGATACACCAGTTGATAGAAGATACATCCAGTAGGAGGATATATAATCTACCCATGAGACAAAATTATAACCATATACAAACAATGAGATGACAAAAAAAGTTAAGTGGAAATATAAAAGTTTTACCTTCGAGGGTGTTACATTCAAGACAAGACATCTGGTTGAAGCGAGAGATCCACTCATGATTACATTAGAAAATCTAGTAATAACTGCTTCCACCAGCTCCGGTGTATTCAGAGATAACTGTGGACATCGTAAGTCTTCAATCTCTAAGTATTCCAAAGAAGGAGCATCTATCTCATATCCAACAAACTCGTTTTTATGATTGCAATCATAAATATTTAATCTCTGCAAAGATGGGACTTTGATAGTGAAAATTTTGACAGTAGATTCGTAATATCGTTCCACAATCAATTCTTCAAGATTAGGACAGCCAGATAAAAGGTTATGGATAGATTCATCGTTTTTGAAGGACGCATACTTAAGATACAGAGTTTTAAGAGACTTCATCAAACCCGGTGCATGGATATCAACCAGAACCAGTCTCCCGAGTATCAACGTCACAAGTGTATCACAAGTACACAAGCTACTCGTAAATGTAAATGGCTTGATGAGAAATTTGAGTACCAATGTACGCAAATGTAGGGAAAACGCAGTTTTAATCCAATGTACAACATCTACCGGATCAGCTTTATCTGGTCCAAGCCTGAGATAAAGACTCTGTAAACACTCAGGTTCATATGAAAGGAGAGACTTATGAACAGTCTTTGAAAATGTTTGGTGTTCACTTTGGTAATCCTCAGAATTAAACTTGAGTTTTGGCACCGATTTCCAAAGAGACTGCCATCTTTTTGACAAGGCACTCGTTGATACAGCTGTTTTAAAAGGAAGAAAAGACATGATTTTAAAAATCAAATCGTCATGAAGCTGACCGATCCTGTCCTCAGCCATGACACCACTCTTTGGAAAAAAAGTCACTGCAAACAGAAAAAATCAAAGAAAAAACATATATTAAGATTTATGCGTTTCGGTTGGTATCAGAATTCAAAACGCTCATAAACATAAGAGTAAACAAACAAAGATATCTTTTCAAACTGTTGCTAGTAAAATCCTTCAGATTAATGCGCACTGCTATTTGAAGATATTTTACCCAAAAGTTGGCTTGCACAATCAAATCTTTACAAGAAAAAAAATCTTAATATTAAGATTGCATACTCTAAATTGCAAAAAAAAAAAATCAGTTGAGGGTCTCTGGACATTCAATAATATTTAAGATGAAACCATTGGTAGCTAAGCAGAGACAAAATCGGAGGGATCATTCATACTCTCATACCATGAAAGAAAATATAAAACTTATTTAGTTTTGCTTTCTTAGTTAGATTCGAGTACATCACTTTATATATATAATATCAAAGAGGATTTGTGTCAATGCCAATGCAAGGTTCATGATCCAAAAGTAAATCATATCCGTTTGTAATCCGCGTTTGATGACGTGTTTTACTCGTACTCGTTGTACTAATTTTGTGTGGATAAAATGTTATCTTTTTGGTGAATGTATAAGTCGCAGAATTTAAAGAAAATGATTTAATTACGCATTCTTACTTATTTAATTAGATTCGAATATATCATTTTGTATCTAATAACAATATAGAAAGATGACATGTGTCAATGCCAATTACTAATGATCGATACCTCTTATATCAAATCGATGCATCTTACAACAGACAAAAATGATGGAAAATTTTATTTACTCGTGAGTTGGGTATATTGAAGCTTTCTTGCTTAGCTTCAAAAGTAGTGAGGATCCAAGAAGATCTCATCCTATGAATTACTCGACTGACGTTTTGCACTTTTTGATCAATGTATAGTCGTTGTTGAATTTGTGTGAGTCATTATCACTACTTTGTTTTGCTGTTGCTGCTGCTAGAACCACCTCCCTTGTAAGGTGATTGTGGCACCGCTGCTAGTCGAAGTTGTCATCATGATCAACACATTAGATCAATACACTTGTTTAAGTTGTCTCATATCGAACACTTGAAATTGGACATCTGAACCAAACTATGTTGACCTTGAACCGATATCAATTAGAGGCACGAACATCCACATTTAATTTTTATAACAAAAACACTTTTAAATAGGTCTGATTGTGTTGGGAGAGGTCTATTCTTACTAGTAAAATTAATTTAACAATGATTTGGAATCAAAACTTCTTAATCAAATTTTTTTTTTTCCTTTTTAAAAAAAACATATGTATTCTTTTGTGCAAATTTGATAGCGTATATCACTTTACCATAATATTTAATAAAAATTAATCTATTGACTTTATTCGAAAAATACAATCAACATTTTGTTTTTTAATTAATCTGTTCACATCATCAGCACAAAATTAAAGTACCTTAAAGATCTCTCTCTACTCCCCGAAAGTCTTTGACTCTCCGAACTCCCACCGCGTAATTAATTCTCTTTACTCTTTCTCCTCCTAATTGCTTCTTCCGATTCTTGGCTCGTAACGATTTATAACCTAATTGGTCACATTTCCGCAGCGATGATTTCTACAAGATAGCTTCCGTTGGTTGCAAACTCTCTTAACGGCAGCCATGGCAACGGGACTTCCTCCTCTTCTTGCTATTGCGTTTCTAATTTCAACTCTTCTCCCTCTCCCTATCTCTCTCGCTGGTGAGTAATTATCTAATCGTTTAGTTGATTTTGATAGAAAAATAGTTTTGTAATGTGATCCATTGCTAAGGTTTTTGCAATTTTTATGTGTGTGAAGGTGAGATAGCATCAATTGAATCTGTGCCTGACCTTCAGAAGCTTATGTATGTTGCTGTTGATGGATATCCTTGTGTACGCCTTCTCAATCTCTCTGGAGAGATTGGTTGTTCTAGTAAGCTTTTTTCTTTTCTTTTTGTTTTTGGCCTTTCCCTCTAACTTAATGTCATTTTTTAAATTAGTTCCCCTGATTTTTATTTTGTTTATTATTACTCAGATCCTGGATTGAGTAAAGTGGTGGCTCCAATTATTAAACTAAAGGATCTTAAAGATGTGGCTGAGCCACACACTGTTTTGGTCACAGCTGATGAGATGGAAGATTTCTTCACCAGGCATGTTTCTTTTCTAATGTTTCTTTTAGAATAAAATAGATTTTCTACCTCTTAAGCACTTTACATTAGATTGTTAAGAGTCATGCATTGTGCATTCTGTCTTACAATACAAGTCACTTTTGTTGTTAGTGCATCAGGAATTTATACATTCGGATTCAGTAACATCCTTTGTTTCATTGGATTATACTTCCTTTTCATTTTAAAAACTAATATCATTCATTAGATTTAGTACCTCTTAAGCAAGTAATTCACGTTGGAATCCTACATTTGTGCATTCTGTTTTACTTCTGGCATGATTCCATAAGATTTTGTACTCACTGTTAAAATAGAAATGACTCATGATTTAGTGCCATTTTCAGGGTGTCTAATGATGTGAGTTTTGCTAGCAAAATTGGTGGCGTTTTAGTTGAGTCAGGATCTAGCTTTCAACAAAAGTTAAAAGGTACTAGGCCATCCGCGTGTTTTATGATTCTGTCAACTTGATGCCCTCTTATCTATGTTCATGCCATTAGTGTTTCTTTCTTCTTTCTTGTAGGTCTTTCCCCTGATAAAATGTTTCCACAGGCGGAGTTTTCACCATATAAAAACGCTGACTACAAATGGAATCCAACTGTATGGTACCTTAAACCTCTGTCTGAATCTTTGAAGTTACTTCTTCTTGTAATGCATGTATGTGGGTGGGAATTATCTTAATCTATATCACCAATCCATTGTCAAGCATTTCCGGATTATACGACTACATGATCACACATCATAAATCCTTATCTTGCGGTTTGTCTGTGCTTTATGTTTTAACAACGGAATCCTTGTATGTGCTTAGCTTTTCACTTACAAAGAAGTTCATAAAACAGTCGCATATTATCTACCTTAATAAAATGATACCGCAACTTATTCTTTTCCATAGAGAAGGAAATTATTTCAATTTTATGAGTAGTTGCTGGCAAAGGGTCTCTAGCCCTTTTGACCATAATAAAACATTATACATTTTATTTGCAGGCATCAAGCATTATGTGGAAAGCTTACAATTTTCCTGTGTACTTATTGTCAGAAAGTGGTATATCAGCTGTGCAGGAGGTAATCCTTCAAACTTGCATTCTTTTGGAAATTATAAACAAGTTATGTGGATAGATTTACTTGAGGGTGTTTGACTGTTTACTTGCATGCTAATATATTTGTGCAGTTCCTTTCCAAGAAAGAGATGAAGCATAAAACTTTCACGAGTCACGTCGCTGAATTCAATATGGTTATGGAGGTACTTGGCTTTAGCAATCTAGAATTCTAGATCACTGGAATGTCTATGAATTCTTACTGTGACTGATATTTTGACCCGTTATTTTATGGATTAGACTACCAAAGCTGGTACACACAATTCGGAGGTTTGTTTACAGGAAGGAAGTTGCCTCCCATTGGGCGGATATAGGTAATATTTGTGGAGTCTAAATAATCTCAAGTTTTGTCTGATTTCAAACATATGATAACTTTTCAAAGGATAGGTTTGCTTTTCTAATATATTTATTATGAAGGACAGTGTTTGGTCTTCACTTCCACCAATCAACGTTTCGTCTTCCAACAATCGCAAACCAATTGTGCTAACTGTGGCCTCCATGGATTCTGCATCATTTTTCCGTGACAAGAGCTTTGGTGCAGATTCACCGATATCTGTGAGATATTGCTATTTATTGCTTCTGGCTTGACCTATATATGTTTTATTTACTCTCCCTTTCAGATTCAGTGTTCAATGACTCATTTGATTTTCAGGGACTGGTAGCTCTACTGGGAGCTGTTGATGCTCTTTCTCGAGTTGAGGGTTTTAGTAATCTCAAAAAGCAGGTGCTAATCAATAAATATAATCCCAAGAACTTTTTAAAACACATCAGTGTGCCATGTGAATTTGTTGTTAGCAAGCTTTTATAGCGCGTGTGTATCCTGCAGCTTGTATTTTTGGTTCTGACCGGAGAAACTTGGGGTTACCTTGGCAGCAGGAGGTTCTTACACGAACTAGATCGGCATTCAGATGCTGTTGCAGGCCTTAGTGATACCCTGATTGAAACGGTAACATTTGTTGTTTTAGGCAGCAGA